CGTGCCTTATGTCTTTGCTGACTTAGCTCTTGTCTGGAATTGGCCAAGTAGGTCTCCTTCTCCCTCATTCATTCAAAACTCTTTACTGACATCTGCCACCTACCCCCTTCACCGAGGGGCATGTGCTGGGATGCAGCCCTTTACCTGTCCTCCAAGTGGGCCAGGAGCCCCTCCCTGTCCAAGGAGGTATAAGTGGGTCAGGGTGGAGCCTTACCCTTTCCATGTTTTTCATCTTGTCTGGCCCTGCTTTACAGATGAGGAGACTTTCTCAGGGAAAGTAGGTGGCTTTCCCAGGGACACACACATAGCAGGCCTGGAATTTGCACCCAGGTCTCTGACTCCCAACCCATGCCCCTATTACCATGAAACATGAACACAAATAAAGCCTTGTAGAAAGTGACTTGGGCCACATACAGGGAGACCAGCATTGGGAGGAGACAGCAGGGGGCAGGCATCCCAGAGGGCTCCTCGGAGCAGGGAGTATTGTCTGGGGGAAGGGTGAGCAGTCTCAGTAGGCTACCACGGTGAGGTTTTAGGTAGAATGCAGCCTCAGCAGTCTTAGGTGGGGAGACTCTGGGGACATTTGGGGAAGGCTGTGTGGGTCAGTCCACAAGGGATGTGTTCCCAGAGAAGTCCATTCCCTCAGGTGTCTCTTCCAGGGCACGTGCATGTCCAGCACCCCCCTCCCCTGCCGCCATCCCAAAGAGATGCGCTTCCAGGAGTCCAGACACATTCCCTTTTGCTGCATCTGCAGCTGAACCTCTCATCCTGCCTCCCTCACAAACTCACATCCTTCCGAGGCCACCAGCTTCTGTCCTTGTGCCCTTTTCCTTCTGCCCATCCACTGGAAAGTTAGGAACCTTGACTCTAATCTCATCCTGGACACACTGAGCCACCTTTGGCAATGCCTTTTGCTCTCTGGGCTTCAGTTTCCTTATGTATGCAATTGGGGTTGAGGGAAGTGGTGGAAAAGTTGGGTTCTAAAGTTCCTTCCTTGTCTAAACATCTGGCTCTGGGTCACTCAGTCGCTTCCCGCTGCCTTCAGGGTTCCAGGCCTCCACCTCATGGCTCTCTGCCTCCTGGTTCCTCCTTCACACCCCCTTCCCCTCTGCACTCTGAATCCCTCTCTCCCTACCTATCCTGCCTGGTTCCCTTTCCTTCCATGGCTGTCTCATTATTTAATTTCTTAAGCACCCACAAAGGTATAGGAAATTGACCCCATTCTGTAGATGAAGCCATGCTTCTGCCACTTCAGGGATCATAGGGAATGGGGGTCCCTCCTTCCCTCACCTGCTGACCTTCCCTGCCCCCCACATCTCTGGAGCACTTCTCTCAAGACAGCCTTGAATCTGAGCCAGGGGCTGAGGCCACGCTCGTGAGTGACTGAGCCTGGAGGTGCTCCTGACTGCGGGACCCTGGGCCAGTCTGTTCCCACTGCCAGCCCAAATCAGCCTACCACTCAAAGCCGAGGGACCACCTCTCTAAACTGCAGCCTGTGAGCTCAGTAGCCCCGAGCTTAGAGCTTCTCCCTTTGGTGTTCAGCATAGAACCACAGTTCCAGGGAACTCTGATTCTGATTCTTTTATCTGCTTTTCAGATAACTCTTCTCAAATAATGCTTCCCTCCTCCTCTGACTCTACAGCCCCCTGCTGAGGCTCCGTGGCTGTCTTGTCCATCCAGCAGTCTAACCCTCCCCTTCGTGCTTCAATTGCAGATTTTTGCTGGTGTTCACCTGCCTGGTGTTGTCCGTGCTGTCCACTATCCAGGAGCACCAGGAACTTGCCAATGAGTGTCTCCTCATCTTGGTGAGTGCCGGAGGCCCGTCTGAGGGAGGCTGTGTGAGGTAGCATCTCTGGGTTCGGGTGAAGGTTGGTGAGAGGCTTCTTACACCATGGCTCAGAGTGGCTTGCTGTGCTCTGTTCCCTGAGCTGGTGGCTGCCCATCTCTGGGATTCATCTCCTGCTTTATAGCAGGTGTTGGGGGACTGCCTGCCTCTATGCCAGGGCTTATGATGGGCAGAGAGACCCATCATAAGGAGTGGGAGGCCAGGTCCCACTCCTTCTCAGGACCCAAACTGCTAACCCCACCCCTAGTGAGATGTTCGTTTCCCCCCCTAAACGGAAGCATCTTGGAGGGGGACAGCTGACGGACAGCTACACTTTGTGTCACTTAGTCTGCTGTAGAGAGTCTGGGATGGCTGGGAGGGGAAGGGTAGAGTGAGGAGGAAAACCCAGATAGCTCATGGGAACAGAAGCGAGGGCAGACTTGGACTTTCCGTGTCTTTGGAAGGGGCCACCTGCCCTTGAGAACCCTCCTCAGGTTCACCCAGGTGTAGGGACCTCCAGGAGAGGTGGTCTGAGGAAGCCTAGGACCCCTAACCCAGGCACTCGAGGCTGTCTCGGGGTTGGAGACTGGGGAGAACTCAGGCCCTGGGCCCCACAGGAATTTGTGATGATCGTGGTGTTCGGCCTGGAGTACATCATCCGCGTCTGGTCTGCGGGCTGCTGCTGCCGCTACCGAGGATGGCAGGGCCGCTTCCGCTTTGCCAGGAAGCCCTTCTGTGTCATCGGTAATAAGGCTGCCCCAGCCCCTGGGCCTGACCCTTGACCCCGAGCCCCAGGGTTGACATCCTGACCCCATATCTGGCCTGACCCTTGACCCCCAGCCCCAGGGTTGACATCCTGACCCCATATCTGGCCTGACCCTTGACCCCCAGCCCCAGGGTTGACATCCTGACCCCATATCTGGCCTGACCCTTGACCCCCAGCCCCAGGGTTGACATCCTGACCCCATATCTGGCCTGACCCTTGACCCCCAGCCCCAGGGTTGACATCCTGACCCCATATCTGGCCTGACCCTTGACCCCCAGCCCCAGGGTTGACATCCTGACCCCATATCTGGCCTGACCCTTGACCCCCAGCCCCAGGGTTGACATCCTGACCCCATATCTGGCCTGACCCTTGACCCCCAGCCCCAGGGTTGACATCCTGACCCCATATCTGGCCTGACCCTTGACCCCCAGCCCCAGGGTTGACATCCTGACCCCATATCTGGCCTGACCCTTGACCCCCAGCCCCAGGGTTGACATCCTGACCCCATATCTGGCCTGACCCTTGACCCCCAGCCCCAGGGTTGACATCCTGACCCCATATCTGGCCTGACCCTTGACCCCCAGCCCCAGGGTTGACATCCTGACCCCATATCTGGCCTGACCCTTGACCCCCAGCCCCAGGGTTGACATCCTGACCCCATATCTGGCCTGACCCTTGACCCCCAGCCCCAGGGTTGACATCCTGACCCCATATCTGGCCTGACCCTTGACCCCCAGCCCCAGGGTTGACATCCTGACCCCATATCTGGCCTGACCCTTGACCCCCAGCCCCAGGGTTGACATCCTGACCCCATATCTGGCCTGACCCTTGACCCCCAGCCCCAGGGTTGACATCCTGACCCCATATCTGGCCTGACCCTTGACCCCCAGCCCCAGGGTTGACATCCTGACCCCATATCTGGCCTGACCCTTGACCCCCAGCCCCAGGGTTGACATCCTGACCCCATATCTGGCCTGACCCTTGACCCCCAGCCCCAGGGTTGACATCCTGACCCCATATCTGGCCTGACCCTTGACCCCCAGCCCCAGGGTTGACATCCTGACCCCATATCTGGCCTGACCCTTGACCCCCAGCCCCAGGGTTGACATCCTGACCCCATATCTGGCCTGACCCTTGACCCCCAGCCCCAGGGTTGACATCCTGACCCCATATCTGGCCTGACCCTTGACCCCCAGCCCCAGGGTTGACATCCTGACCCCATATCTGGCCTGACCCTTGACCCCCAGCCCCAGGGTTGACATCCTGACCCCATATCTGGCCTGACCCTTGACCCCCAGCCCCAGGGTTGACATCCTGACCCCATATCTGGCCTGACCCTTGACCCCCAGCCCCAGGGTTGACATCCTGACCCCATATCTGGCCTGACCCTTGACCCCCAGCCCCAGGGTTGACATCCTGACCCCATATCTGGCCTGACCCTTGACCCCCAGCCCCAGGGTTGACATCCTGACCCCATATCTGGCCTGACCCTTGACCCCCAGCCCCAGGGTTGACATCCTNTCTGGGCTGGAGTGTCTGCGTCCACAGCAAAGTGGGGAACCGGGGCTGGGCCTGAGGGTAGGATGGGGGCGGGGCTAGATGTGGGGCCGGATCTGAGCTTGAAAGTGGGGCTTGGGGGACCGGGCAAGGTGGGTCTGGGGCGGAGATCTGCGCGTGGAGCCTGGAGGGTCAGGGCGGGTCAGGGCGTGCCCTGCGGCTTGGAGAGGGCCTGGGGGTTTTGAGGAAGGGGGGGCAGGTCTCCCTGGAGGGAGGAGATGAGGAAGGCGGGTAGAACAGGCTCCAGGGAACTACGAAGGGGCGGGGTACTTTTGCCCCCCTACCCCAGCACCTTTCATTGGCTATTCTGGGGGCCTCCGATCTCCCCGCCTCTCCCACCTCCTCGTGCCCTTCTGCCCGGTCTGCCTGAGGCCTCACCCGCGGCTGCCCCCGCAGGAGCTGATCACCGCCTGGTACATTGGGTTCCTGGTGCTCATCTTCGCCTCCTTCCTCGTCTATCTGGCCGAGAAGGACGCCAACTCCGACTTCTCCTCCTACGCGGACTCGCTGTGGTGGGGAACGGTAGGTGAGGGTCTGGGGGAGGCTTCCCTGCTCGTTAGGACTGTCCTGACCACTGTGGCCTGTGACTCAGGCTTGAGCTGGACTGCCCCTGACCTGCCTGCGGTGGGCGGGACCCCTATGACCAGCCTGTATGCTAGCTCCCCAGTGTGCCCCATCTTGTCCCAGATGTCAAGCCCCTGTGACCTGTATCCCTGCATAGGGCTGGGGGGAGGGGGATTTGTCTGCACCCCTAACCAGTCCCCATGACAAGTCCTTGTGGGCAACCGTGAGAGCCCCTTCCCTCATGATCAGGCTCCCATCTGTCTGTGCCCCCAGCAAGTTCGTGTGGGTGGCCACTGTGACCGACCCTGTGGGTAACCCATTTGTGTTCCCAGATTACACTGACAACCATCGGCTATGGTGACAAGACGCCTCACACGTGGCTGGGCAGGGTTCTGGCTGCCGGCTTCGCCTTACTAGGCATCTCCTTCTTTGCCTTGCCTGCCGTGAGTCCCTCTCTGCCTAGGATTGCCCAGCCTGGGGAAGCGGGGCCGGGGGCAGAGCCTGCTAAGCCCCTATCCCACGTTAGCGGTGGGGGAGCATCTCAGAGGGGCAGAGACTGCCTTTTGTTGTTCCCACTGCCACATTTCCCCAACCATGCCTGTCCCCCTAGGGCATCCTCGGCTCCGGTTTTGCCCTGAAGGTGCAGGAGCAGCACCGGCAGAAGCACTTCGAGAAGCGGAGGATGCCAGCAGCCAACCTCATTCAGGTACAGAATGCCTAGGAAGCCCCTGAACTGAATTGGCGTGTCAACACTGTATGCTGACTCTTGTGTCCCAGCTTCACAACTGTGACTCCACTTTGAAGCTCAGAGTGGAGATGTGACTTTTCTGGGTCACATGCCAAGTCAGGAACAGAGCTGGGATGCTGACTCAGATTGTCGAAAATGTCCCTCTGTACCAAATGCCTAGTTTAGGATTAGCCAGAGCTGCCCCACTGGCCGACTCCGGTCCACATTGCCTGAAGTGGAATGCAGCCTGGCCAAGAGGCCCTGGGTCCTTGGGAGAGACACCTGTCAGGTGTGCAGCCATCAGTAAGCTTGTCCCACTCTTAACACCTTCATTCATTAATTCATTCTACAAGCACTCACACAAATGAATGTTGTAACTACAAACTGAGATCAGTGCCTTGAAAGAAATGGTTCTCTGAAGAGCTTTTAACAGGGAACCTTGGAGGAGGCTTCAGGGAAGACTACCCTGGGAAAATGACACTTGAGCTGAGAGCTGGCTGATGGATAGGTATTAATTAGGTGAAGAAGTGAAAGGTAAGGGAACAGCATATGCAAAAGTCCTGGTGTGTCTGATGAACTTGAAGGAAGCTAGCAGGGCCGGAACAGAAAGCTGAAGGAAGAGTGGATAGTGGATCGGTGGGCCAGGCCCAGACCTAGGGACCACAGGGAGGAGTTTAACTTTTTCTAAGAGCAACATGGACAGGTCTGAAGGAGGGGAGTGGGTGACATGATCAGATCTGTGTTTTGAAAAGTGGTGAATAAATTGGAGGGTATGTGTGGGAGACCAGAAAAGAGACTGGCAACAGTCTGGGTGAGGCAGGATGCTGGGTGAAGTGAGCTAGGTTTGCAACAGGTGAGATGGAAAAAAATGGGCAGATGCTGCAAATTTCGGAGGTGAAATTAGTGACATCAGGAGTGAGAGTGAGAGAGAAGTCGGGGTGACTTCCAGGTGGGGTGACTTCCAGGCTTGCCCAACTGGGTGGCTGATGGCCCTGCTCACTGGAGGAGACCAGATTTGGGCCATGAAGAATGTGAGTTTGGCTAGAGCATGTGGAGTCTGAGGGTTTGCTGAGCCCCTGGGTGGCGATGTTGAGCAGGCAACTGGATGTGCAGGTGTGCGGCTGAGAGGAGAGAAATGGGCTGAGCAGACAAGATGTAGAACCATTGCATGTAGACGGCACCAAAGCCCCGGGCATGGATGAGCTCACCTGGTGGAGAGAGCAAAGAGGGAACAGAGAAGATGGTTCAGAACTGGGCTTTTCGAAGCCTCAACATTTCATGGCTGGGCAGGCAAAGTTGAGCCAACCAAAGAGACAGAGAAGCTGCAGCCAGAAGGGTAGGGTAAAAACCAGTAGTGTGTGGTCTCAGTTTCCTGCACTGTGCTGTGAGGCATTCAGACAGGGCACGGGCTGAGAGGAGGGTTCTGATTTGTGTGACTCTGTGACTCAGCCTGGCTTCTCCCTGGTCAGATGTGTGTGCAAGAGACACCCCTGCAGGAAATAGTTCAGGGAATGTTGGCACAGCCCACATCAGCATGCTCTCCATGTGCTACCCTCTGACCCCCAACCTAAGTCTGACTCAACCCCTCCTTATCTCCCCTCCCCTGGGTGGAATTCTGCTCTCCATCCCTGCTATCTCCAGCCACCAGCCCAGCCTTTACTTTTCAGCATCCCCTGGGGCACAATGGCCACTGTCCCCTGGGAGCTGGCCTTTGGAGGGGCATTGTAGGGGCAGGCAGCTGGCGCTGTCCATACCGAGAGACAGCTGGTATTGTGGTGCCCATAATTAATGAGACAGTCTGGCAGCTGCTCCCCAGCCTAAGCCAGGGACCTAGGCAAGCAGGAAGTAAAAATATTCCTGTCCTGGGAGGGTGCCCGGCTGGTGAGTTCATCAGTGGGCAGTCCCTTAAGGACAAGAGGCACCCAAAAAAAGGGGGGCATCCGGGGACCGTTCTACTTTGTCATGCCTAACAGCTTCCATGCCTCCCTGCCCTCACTGATTGCCCCACTCACAGTCCCTCCCTGGCCCTTCTTACCGGAAGGGAAGGAAACAGACCCTCCTCTTGGCTGACCCTCATCCTTCCTGCTGCAAGGAAGCCCTGCAAGTCCGTGAATGCTGAGGGAGGTGATGCTCTCTCTTCCCCTCTTCAAACCATGGGCAGTGACAGGCAGCTGGGAAAGTTGGGGCGGGGTTATTATTAGTAATAATGATTTCACTCAGTCAGCATTCATTCCTTGAACATTTGCAGAATACTTACCATGTGCCAGAGGATGCAGTGGTAACCAAAATACAGTCTAGGAGGAGAGAAAGACATTAACCAAATACAAAATGAATAGATAGCTATCAGTCGTAGTAAGGGAGATAACAGGGGGGTTCAATGGGAAATTGGCATTAAGTGCCAACTATGTGCCAGGTATTACAATTGGCATTTTGCATACATTCACCCATTTACTCCTCCCAACACCCAGTTATATAAGTAGTATTACATCCATTTTACAGATGAGGTAAGTGAGGCTCTGCAGCTTTACTTGATTTTCCTACACCCATAAGGGGCACAGCTGGGATTGGACACCCACGTCTGCGCGATGACAAAACCCCAGCTCTTACCTGCTGTACACCAAGCCCCCTCAGGGCCTTGGGGAAGTCATTCTCTCTAGGCTACCATTTCTTTGTCCAGCCCTGCTGGTGGCTATGGAACTGGAACTGGCTTCTGGTTCTGAGAACCCTTCAGCAGGCCCAAGGCCTGGGTTATCTCAGGGGCAGAGGGCTGGTGGGGGACTGAGAGGCCTCACTGATGCCTTGTCTCCTGTTTCCCTTCCCCCAAACCACCAGGCTGCATGGCGCCTATACTCCACCGACAGGAACCGGGCCTACCTGACAGCCACCTGGTACTACTACGACAGTATCCTCCCATCCTTCAGGTAGGCCCTGATGCAGGGGGAAGGCGGGACGGGGGCTCTCTTCCACTCTCTACGCCCAGGGAAGGCTGCGGACACTGGACACAGGGCATGGGTGAAGCCCTGCCCCTCTGGCTGAGCTTGAGTCTGGGAGTGCTGGTAGTCCCCATGCTTACCCAGAGTGGGTACCACTCAGGACAGTGGCACAGCCACTCAGTCTGAGTTGCGGGCAGTGTTAGCCCTTGCCAGCCTGGCGTATTACAGCTGGATAGAGAAAGCGTGGGATGGGCAAGAATGAGTGTGCCCGAGTTGGGTGCAAGGGCCCACGCAGCACCCCTGTGCATGAATATGTACCTACTTTTACTGTGCCAGGCAGCAGCCTTAGGGCCCAGAAATGAGTACGTCCCACTGGCCCAGGTTGGAGTAGGATTGGACAGGGGTGGATCCATGCAGGGGATTATTAATACATCATCAAGGTTTATGTGGCTAGGTGCCTGGCAGGCCCTTGGGCAGAAATGAAGACCATGGAGCATGGCCTGGTCCCGTGGGTAGGCGAGCGTCAAGCGGCGTCAAAGCGGGCCAGGCTGCTGTGCTCAGCACTTCTGCTGGCGCCTTTTTTTGCCACATTAGTTCTCCAAGAGCAGCTGTTGCATGATTCCACTCATCCTACACCTGCCTGCCTCCCTCCCTGCTCCCTCCCAGCCCCAGGGGATTCCCAGGGAAGGAGCAGGAGAGAAGGGGCTGGGAAGGGGAGCTCCCAGAATCACACTGGTTCCCCCGCTTCTCCACCTGGCAGAGGCAAACTCCCACCTCAGAGGCAGGAAGGGTAGTTAGGTTAGAAGAAGCTGCCCTTCCCAGGAGGAGCACTAAGGACTCTAGGCCAGGCCTTGGGGAGTGGCCCAGGGGCTGCTTTGTTAGAAATATGATGTGTGTGTGAGGGGGAGGGAAGATTTTGGGATGGGGTGGTCTTGGATCCTGGAAGAGAGACAGAAATTTGTTTGGAGATTCTGATCCACTGGGTCTCCTGCTCCTTGGACCTCAGTTTCTTCATCTATATAATGGGAAGGCAGAAAGGGAAGGATGGGAGGATATTGGGTTATGGAAACAGGAAATGCCGGGAGAATTAGGAAGAAACAGCCCCAAATCTGGTCTCCAAGAGCCCAGAGCTGCCGGGGAAGGAAGCTGGCTAGCCACCCTATCAAGTGTTCCTCTTCAGCCTCAGTTTCCCCCCTAAAATCCAGAGTCAGATCTGGAGGGTGAGGGTCTCAGGGCTGCTGCTGACCTCCGAGTAGGCACAGCTCCATGCCCAGGCACGCGGCGTGATGGGGAGAGTAAGCTGCATTTGAGCTCCCACCTGCCCCCTTGTGAAGGTGCTCTGGAGTGTGCCAGCCTGCACAACCACACTTGGCATCCCTGAGGACTTTCCCGGAGTGTAGGAAAAAAAGGGAGGAAGGCTGGTCTCTCCCACACCGCGCGCCCCTGCCTACTCTGGTCTGGAGGGTTAGCTGAGCACCTGGAGAGAGGCAGGGCTGGGCAGGACGTGAGCTCAGGAGCTCAGTGCCCACTGGGTGAGGGGGTGGTGCCAGGGCCCTGCCCGCCGCTGATGGCACCCTCTCCTGCAGAGAGCTGGCCCTCTTGTTTGAGCACGTGCAACGGGCCCGCAATGGGGGCCTACGGCCCCTGGAGGTGCGGCGGGCGCCAGTACCCGACGGAGCGCCCTCCCGTTACCCGCCCGTTGCCACCTGCCACCGGCCGGGCAGCGCCTCCTTCTGCCCTGGGGAAAGGTAGGGGCCCTCTGGGGCTGCCGCCTCCTCTTGCTTCGCCTCTTTCTCTTCCGTTCTCTGTCTCGTCCTCTCGGATTTGCGTCCAGCCACTACATGGGAGTCTGGGCTTGCTCTGGGGACTCTCAGGCCTTGTCATGAGGCCTGGGCAGTTGTCGTCAGACAGCCTGACAGGTACAGACCGAGAGCCTCTCTGGAGGGCCCAGGCTGGACTCACCTTTTCAGTCCCCTGGGCGAGTGGGGGATCTGGCCACACCATGCTTTCCCCTCACCTCCTCCATTCATTCCCGTGTCGTCTTTCTTTCTGTTTCCATGCCCCCCTCACTCTTCCGTCCCTGCACCTCCATCCCTCCCGGGAAGCTGGAGAGAGGAGGAGGCCGCTGGCCACAGGTGCTTACAGCTCAGGTAATCGTGGGCACCGTCCTGGGGCGTGAGGGCAGGGACCCCTCCCCCGGCAGGTTCCTCCAGAAAGGGCTTGACACTGGACTCGCCTCTCGGGAACGAGACGCCAGCTGGAAAGAGAGCTCTGTGACTAAGAACCGCTGTAGGACCTACGTAAACTCAACCAGTGACTAATGCCCTTGTCTTGTGTAACCCTGTCCACAGCTTCGCTAACCCCAGAGGAGCCTCCCGGGATTCTCCCACAATGCCTTTCTTCCTTACTGAGGGACAGTTTGCTGCTCCCAGCAGTCTTCTTCCCCTTGACCTGGCTCTCCTGGAGCTTTTGAACCTTGAAAGAACAAAGAAATCATAATGCTATACACCCCCTCCCCCAAACACACATAATTGTTCATGATAGCGGAATTTCAAGCTTATTTGGATAAGGAAAACCCCTTAACTCACAGTATGGGAAAGTGGCTGCACCTGTGGAGGTATAGCTTCGAGGTCGAGGATTGGATTCCCCCCTCATTTCTCACCTGTGCTCTACCCATCTCTTTGTTTTCTCTCATCTTCACATATCATCCCTGCATCAGCCAGCTGGGCATCTGGGCCTGGAGCCTCAGGTGTGATGCTGAGCCTGCGGCCCAGACAAGGGAGGGGAGAAGAGGTGAGCCAAGAGTGGCCAGGAGAAGGAGGTGAGGTGAGAGATTGCCTCTGCCACCTGATGCTGTGTGTCCTTGAGAAAGTCATCAAGTCACTCTGAGGCTCTGCGTCCTGGGCAGAAAATCAGCGATGTTTAAGCTGATGAGGAGCTCTTGGTTTTCTTGGTTTCTGGGCATAAAAGCCTGGGGAACAGGGAGGAGGTGGTTTTGGTGCAGGGGCTGCTGGGAGCAGCATTTCTTCCCTGTTCTCAGTGAGGACACGTCCGGCTGGCTGGGGGGGTGGG